CATTTTGTTCAGCGAATTTTGATCAAGGAAAGTCTTGCAAATGACATTACTAAGCAAAAGAAGACACCTAAACATTCTGCCGAGAGTGTACGAATCAAGTGAGCGGCTGCGAAAAAACTCCACCAATCGCAACAATAGAAATGGAAACGGCATGAAATCCCACCTTCGCAAACAGATGTCTCATCTCTTGTAACAATCGAGGCCATTTTATACATAGTTAGTACATAGTCGCTGGAATTGGTGGCTGGACGTGAGAAAAAAATATGCAAAGTCCCACTTACTGTGAGAAGATGGACTCCAAATCAGATGATTTCACGGCCTTTACTTTTCCATCTAGATCTAGACACTTGATGAAAGCAGAACACATCTCGAAAAAGTACTCGCTGCGATCGTTTCGCGTAGCCCATGCTACCTGAAATAAGACCGTTGCGCAGAGAGACCATGTTTGTGTTACTTACCTTTTCATTATCAAGAAAGGCTTCCGTATCTGATATCAGAACAATTCCGTCAATATCAACACCACCCACAATCATTGACTAAACTTATAATGTATATCGCAACTTTGCTTCGAAATCTTCAAACTCACCTTCATTTTCAGTAATCCCATAACGAATCCTAGATGGAAGCGACCTTTCGGATGAATGGCAAATGTTACACGCACACGTCTCCTTTCAGATAAACACAACCGCAATGTATAGTCCTCGCCTAGGACAACCTAAAGATTTAAAAATGACGAAAAAATATCGAGCGGTCATTTTAGCAACCTGATCAGATCCGACTATACTTCTAATGAGATCGGCGTCATTATCACTGGGCTCCACAATGGGTCGGAGATTGGATTCCACTTTGGATTCGACTACGTCTTGGTAACCTTTCTCCAGAGCGTTGCGCACAGTGTCATTATTGCAGTGCTCTTGTACCTAATTTAGTAATTTGATAATGGTAGTTTGTAATGGATTTGGTTTTGCGCGAAGGGTTTCACTTTCTCTCTTCAAAAAATGAAGTTCAAAAAAGAATAAGTAAAGCAAAAAAAATTGAACATTACCTTCTCAAGGAGTTCGTTGAGGAATTCAGCAAGGACTTTCTTCAGATCGTCTTCTGATAAAGCACCTTTCAAGAATGCTTCTTTCACTTCCTCATAAGAGTAGTACTCACTGCAAACACGAAAGGCTTTGAGTTGACAAAAAAAAACAGCAATGTAGTATCATTATGATAGGAAAATACATACTTATTTGAGATTGTCAGAGACTGAGGGCTAACTATAGGGAAGACCACTGATTTCAGGAACGCTAATACTCCGTTGTCTTCCTCCTGCCGAGGGCAAACAGCACCACGAATTTTGCGCTCCACCAACTCACTTTTGTCGAGCAGGTCAATTTTCGAGTCGGCTTCAGAACTGAATATATACGCGATGTGTGAAGCACATGAGAACATAAATATACCTGCTCATTTTAGATCCTGTCAAACCAGGCACCATTGGGTTCATCAAATGCCATCTCTTTCCAAGTTTCAACTTGGGTAATTGTTCCTCGGCCAAAATAAATATTTTTCTTTGATCGACTCCACCAAACTGACCATCCA